CGTGAAGTAGGGTAGAAGTAATAAACAGTTTACATCATGTGATAAATCTACGGAAATTGCTTTCAACTAAAGCCCCAGAGTGCGGCCATCCGGAAAATGGAGCGGTGCTTTACATGAAATGTGCACGGCCACACTTAAAAAACGTGTTTTAGTGTTGTCATGATGAAAGGCGCGGCAATAACGTGCGAGGGTTGAAAAGCAGAAAGTTTCGAACACAGGACGGGATGCGCCCATCCTTCCCCTATTGTCGACTGATGGTAGGGCTAAAGTTGCACTCCAAATCCGTGAGATGGGGTAGGCGTGGCTGCTTTCTTCACCCAAGCGTGGCGGTGGTTGTGCTTCTGGAGAGATGTTTCCATTTTGACACAATTGTGGTCGTGTCTCCATCGAACACAGAACAAGATGACAGTTGTCTCGAACTCAGATATCCCAAGAGTAGCCCACTCTGCCATGTTGCCAAATGCACGCCCACTCCACGTTAGAGATTAGAGTTAAGGAGTATAATTAATTACATGTTGGTGCGGTCATTGCTCGGAAATTGACGATACCATTGGAACGATAAGTCATATGAACTGGAGGAGTTGGCACAAGGTTACTTGACTGGTAGGAACAAAAAAAAAAGGAAGTCTGTAAATAGAAAAGTTGGACCGAACACCAAGTGCGCTCCGAGCAGCATTTCTGGAAAAATCTTATTCTAACGTGTTATTGACCATACCTTCTGCTGTTTTCTTCCCAGGACAGCAACTTTGAGCCCTATGATTCTAGTAATGAACTCCGTGTTCGTCATGTTGATGTCATACACTGTGTCTTCAAGCTGAGAGGAGAGATGGAGGCCCTGGGCCCTGCCTGGTATTGTGGTCAGCTGACTGGCCCGATTAGTGTGAAGACTGGCTTCAGATGGTGGCTGTAGCCAACATGACTGGCCCGATAAGTGTGAAGACTGGCTTCAGATGATGGCTGTGGCCAACATTTATAAACTGGTAATATGTGCCTTTGAACGTTGAACTTGGTCAGTTATACATAGAAAAGAGTTTTCGTTGTCTAGAAATTGATAGCGCTTTTGGAGGGCTTATATTTCGCAATGATCGAAGCATTTCAAGAATCGCCCTTTGTAATTTGTTGCTAACGAACAAGCGAGCTCTCTATCACTAGCTGCGGGTTAAAATGGGGCAAGTTAAAAAAATAAAGAGGAATTGGAGTTGATATCGGCATCCGAGCATTTGTCGTATCGTTCGTAAGTAACGCAGTGTATTCACTCACACTTGAGTTTGTTTGCAGTAGTTGCAGTTTTTTTGTCTCACATTTCAGTCTTTCCAGTCGTTTCCATTGACAAAATTGACTTTGGCGTTGTTGTCACAAAATCTAGCTTCAGACCAAGTTTTCCTTTTTGAGAGTTGATCCCTTCATAGAACGAACCAGGCCTTAATTACAGCCGCTCTATTGCTGACTACTCGTCCTCATCTGAGAAGGCTGACTTGGGAATGCTGGACTTCACCATCAGAGGTGATTTCACGAAGACGTTTAACTGGAATGTGAAGCAACTGTTTGTATATCTTGTTGCCGAGTATGAGACTCCGGAAAATGTGAGTGAAGAAGTGTCCATTTGTCTCTCCTTGACTGTAAAATTCAAGTTTTCATGAGTCCATGACTTTCTTAACCACTTCGTAAGAAAACTGACGAAAACTACTTTGTCCAGGCAATGAATCAGGTGGTTCTTTGGGACAAAATTGTATTGCGGAGTGAACGAGTTGTGCTCGATGAACGTCGTCTTCAAAGCAAATACTATTTCTTGGATGACGGCACTCATTTGCTCAATCATCCTAACGTCACTCTTGTTCTCAGGTACGATTTCGGTTCTTTGAATCTCGAATTTCTCCGTTTTTGTTGCTGGAAGTGACTCTCCAAGATTTTATGTGCGATGTTTCGGGTCCATTGGAATCACCTCAGAGCCCTACAAAACCATCAATCAGACATACTAATCGTACGAGTTTATGTGACTGCCACTGATGGTGTGCTGGTCCAGTTTGGAAAAGACCCCAGATATTAGAGGGCATGCGCTCAAGATTTAATTAGGTTGTTATACACGAATAACCTTGAGGGGGTTGTTTGAAAGGCCCTTCTGTGCAAAGATTACTGTCATCCGAGTCAGCTACTGCACCTGAATTTGGATCATGCATTTCGGAAGTTTTTCCCCCTGTAGGCTCATCAAGAGAAAAAATGAAAAATAGAAACAAATACACTGATGAAATATTTTCAGAAGATTGAAAAACGCAGCTTGTTAACTTAGACCTTTAACCAGAAGTTCTTCTCCTTTTCGAGTCAGAAAGTATTTGCGACGGGTTTTCAACGGCGAACTCGAAGATCTTTTGCGGTTTTTAGACTTTATAAGCATAGCTTACATAGCACAATTTTTTTGCAATAACAAAAACATTATACGAATATGGAATATCCTGCTTCACAAGACATACTACCTTTTCCGGATACGCGCTAGTTCGAGTAACATTTTGGATGGGTTTTCAAATCCTGAACAACTAACTGGTCAATTTCTTCCGTGTTCTTGTGATGAAAACTGGTGCGGAGACCTTGGTATGCCCCAAACTTATCGTTGAAAGCGTTGAGAGAGTAGCCCTCAGTGGGACTTTCCCAACGATGATCTGTACTGTGTCAGGGGGATTCCTTTTAAATCCCTTGGTAATGAGCGCCTCGTTTTTAATTTTTTTTAAAAAGATTTTTCGTCTCAGTAGATGGAGAATTGATCAGTTTATATTCGTTGTCGGTCAGTTCCGACATCTAAGTGTTTTCTATTTCAGATACAACGTTGTTCCAAACGCCGGTTATTTGAGGCTATCACAGGCCGAGGGACAAGCGATCGTAAGGTTCCCAGCTACCTACACCACAAAGAAGCACTAATAATCGTTTTCTGAAAGTCAGGTTTCAATCAGGTGGCAGTAAAAACGTGCATAAGTTTCCATTACAGTTGAGATGTTTTTGTTCTATCAAAACTGCCGGCGATGTTGTGTCTGAGTTTGTTGTCCGCGTCTTTTCGGTCATG